CCCCTCTCAGGTATAGGCCTCCTCCAAGGATTTCCGTTTTTCTCTGTTTTTTGCTAATCTTAACCAGTTTGTTCCTGCGATCTTTTTATGTCATCCTCCCATCTCATGTCGGGTCTCCCTGCTCGGCGTTTGCCTGGCGGGCCCTTCCATGTGGTTACAATTATAGTCCACCTGTTGTCATCGCATCGGGCTATATGAGCCGCCCATCTGAATTTTAGTGCTTGAGCCGTAAGCCAGTGCGTCTATTGCTTCAGTATAGTTTCGTATTTTCGTGTGTCGTATTTTTTGTATTTTCTTTATATTTAACATGCTGCGTTCCATTCCTTTCTGACATGAACTAATTTTGTTTTTAATTTTCTTCGTAATTTTCCACGTCTGGCAACCATACGTTAGAGAGGGCAGAATACATGAGTCCATAGTTTTCTTTTTTGAGCTTTATTGACATGTTGCTTTTAAATACTTCTTTTAGGCTCCAATATTTGTTCCACGCGATTTTTATTCTACGTTGTATCTACATTTCATTACTGTTTGTTTTGAAACTTATTAGTTTTCCAAGATAGATATATTCATCCACGTAGTCTAGCGGCCTATTTTCTAACCTGATACATTTTTTGATGCTATTTGTCATGGCATTCGTCTTTGACAGGTTTATCTCTAATCCCACTTGTCTGCTGCTTATATTAAGGGACTCTAACATATATTGCAGACCACAGCTAGTTTCTGGTAATAACACTATATCGTCTGCGAATCTTAGATGGTTTAAGTATTTGCCATTAATGTTTATACCACATTTATTCCAGTTCAGTTTTCTTATGACGGTTTCCAGTACAGCTATAAAAAGATTTGGTGATAACGGATCGCCTTGTCTTACTCCTCTTTTAATAGGAAAGCTTTGGCCAATCTTTTCCAATTTTACTTTGCTAGTGCTTTTGCTATAAATCTACTTTTTGAGCTTTTAAGGCTTCCCAGATACTCGTGTGAGATATTGTATCAAATGCTTTTTGATAGTCCACAAAGGCGATGTAGAGTGGTCTTTGTTTTTCCTGGTACTTTTCAATAATTAGTTCTAGGGAGTGTATGTGATCTATTGTTGAGAATCCTTTGCGAAAGCCTGCCTGTTCTACAGGTTGCCATGTGTTTAATGTTTTGCTTATTCTCTTATTAATGATTGAAGAAAATAGTTTGTATAGAGTCGGTAAAAGGCTAATGGGTCTGTAGTTGCCAATATCATGGGAGTCTCCTTTTTTTATAGAGTAAAATTATGTTTGATTCGGTCCATTGCATAGGTATAATCGCCGTCTCTAAGATGAGGTTAAATAGGTGCGCCAATGGCGTGGCCAGTAGAGATCCTCCGTACTTTAAAGCCTCGTTGGAGACTTTATCTGGCCCTGGACTTTTATCTGATTTTAATCTCCTTCATTGCTTGAAGGATTTCTATTTCATCGATCGGTAGGATTTTATTTTCAGTACTTGTATCCAATATCTCCACATTATTCTGGATGATTTCAGTAGTAAGAAGCTGTGTGTCCGATTTGGCGCTGTACAAGTCCCGGTAAAAGTTTGTTGCAATATCGATTATATCCTTGCGTTTGTGTGATGCTCTTCCAGCTGTTTCAAACCCTCGATCCAGGCTCTATTTGTTCGAAGTTCCTTAATGGCCTTTTTCATACTCCCTTCTTGCTTGAGATGTTTTTCTATAGTATTAGCTCTATGGATTTTGTAGTCAAATTTGATATATTTGCTCGTTAACTTATATAGAGCGCTAAGCTCGTTTCTTTGGGTACGGGATTTATTTTTGGTTTTTTGTAGTTCTTGTCTTTTCTTTAAAAGCAATAGTATCCTTTCTGATAAAACTTTATGATTCATTGTGGGTTGGCGTGTTGATTTTTTGGTTTCCAAGCTTTGCATTATAGCATGTATTAGTGAATCATAACAGTTTTGTACGGTATCTATTTTACTCCAGTTTGACAAATGATTTTCAAGACTATTTATGTATTCATTTATATTTTCGTAACTATTAAGAGTACTATTTTGTTTTTTGTTTATGTATGTCGCTCTGCTCTTATAAGGTTTTGATAGTGTAATTGTGCTTCTGACTAGTGTATGGTCTGATGAATAATTTAAATTTAATGTTTCTATATTTTGAAATATCTTTGGTTGGTTAGTTGTTATGTAATCTATTTCATTTTTATACTGGCCGTTTGGAGATCGCCAAGGCCATCTACGGCTTGGTTTTTTCTCATAGTATGTGTTGATAATCGATAGTTTCTTTTCAAAAGCAAAGTTTATTAGTCTCAGTCCTCTTTCATTTCTTTGTCCATAACCATATCTTTTTGTTATTAAATATTCGTCTTTTAGGGGTTGACCAATCTTTGCATTGAAATCACCCATAACAATTAGGTTTTTATGGGCGAACTTCATGGCTTTATCTATCGATTTGTAAAATTCATTGACCTCCTCTTCATCCGCTGACTCAGTAGGCGCGTAAATTTGTATTATGCTTATGTTGTATCCATGTAGTATATTGAGATTCAATAATGCAACTCTTTCTGTAACTGCAGTAAAGCTTTCTACGTTAGATTTTAGAGATATATTTAACAGAAAACCAACGCCGTGTTTTCCTGGAGTCTCTCCCATATAGCATAGAATGAAGTCCTCGTATTCTTCTATTTTTCTGACAAGGGCGTCTGACCTCTGATATGCCAATGATATCGTACTTCACCCCTATTAAGGCCTCCTGCAGTTCAATCAGTCGCTCGTATGAATGATCTGAGGGACCTGACATTGTACGTTGGCACATAAAACTTCTTATTATTATTTTTTTGTTCAGTAATCGTGGGTATATTCCTTGGAGGGTAGTGGTCATACTCTTCCACGGTGACCAACCGGGTTGGAAGATGATCTGTGTTGTTTCTTTCTTTTCTTGCTATTTCTATTTTTTTGAGAGGGGGGACCTGATTGCTAATTGGTTTTTGTTATGGTTTCTTTGATTAGTTGAAGATGTATTATTTACTAAATAGTCTCGAATGCCCGGCTTCACTATTCCTTCAGAACAATTGAGTAGCGGTGTGGGCGTAGATTTTAAAGGGGTCGTTTTATTTTTCTTAATAATTTGTGTTCTAAGGGGTGGATGAAAATGGCTGGTTTGCTTTTCTTGAGGGGAAACAGAAAGGAACCTTTTTTGTTGTTTTTCGGGGTAGGAACATCTTCTGGATTCCTTAATATGACCAATTTGTCATATTTAATCATTACTTTATTTCCTTTCTCTCTTTCTATTTTTAGTACTTCTTGCAGCTCTCTTCTTTTTTCCAAAACTTGTTGGGGGTAATCTTCTTTTATATAATACTTAGTATCCTTCAGTAACTTTTTCTGTTTGAAGATTTCAATTTTTTTCCCCATAGTTGTGAGTGATAATACAACCGGGCGAGGGTTATCAGATTGATTTTTTTCCAATTCTCCTTAGTTCTTGGATTTCGTTATGTGATATAAGTATTGATAGATGTTTAGATATGAAATCAATAACGATATTTTCCAAGTCCGAGTAGCGTTGCTCTTGTTCCTCAATGCCAAATATCACCACATTTCTTTTTCTCACCTGTTTTTCCAACAGATCCAATCTTTGTTCTTGTTTATCTACTTTTTGTTTTAATGTTTCATACTTTTGTTCCCAAACATCTAATTTTCATCAATTATTTTGTTTATATTTTCAGTTACGTTTTCTGTGACCTTTGCTCCACTTTACTTGATTGTGTTTTTTGTTCGTCTAATTCTTTCCGGATTAAGCTTAGAGTAGCCAAGACTTCTTCCATGTTTATTTGTTAGAATTATAGCTAAATTCGTTATCAATTAGTGATATATGCCGATGTTTACATACAGGTGTCGCCCTCTATTAGTGCATTTAAGAGCTACAATATTTTGTTTTTCCAGCTTCTGTTATGTGTAATTTATCCTACGTGACTCAAGTCTAGATGGCGCTACTAGTTCTTATGCAGTAGAAATGACGACGTGTTTTTGAAATAATTTTTCGTTACTTTGAGGTTATGTTTATGAAGCGGTGAAAAATTGTGCACAGAACTAACCTGTATGATAATCCTTTACACTGGAAAAGTTTTGTAAATTCATAGAATTGATAATTTTTCCATCAATTTTGCATAACAAATTCACAATTTAAGAAAACAGTCACTGTTTGTTAAATACTGTTTAGGTTCAATTTTTGCACTTAGCATCGTTTTTTTTCCATAGCACTTTTACAATCCCATGTAAATTGAGATGAACACTAAACTTTGATTTATGTTTTTCGGTTCAATTCACGTTATTTACTTTATTAACATAATAAAAGTACGGAGCCGATGTTAACGGTTGCACAGAAGCGCCCTCTCATTTTTCAGATCGCGTGCTATATAAGAACATTATTTCGTAATAAGTCGCATTTTAGACTAAAATAAAATAAAGCGGTAAAGAAAAACCAATGCACGCGTTTTCATACTTTTCAGGCTTACTACTTTATATAATCCTAAAAATATTTTTAAGTTATGTACTATTTAAAATTGAATTAATTTTATTTTTAGAATCGAAATAAAATTATTTATTTTTTATTATAATTGATGTAAACATTATTTTAACCTTAATATAAATTGTAAATCAAATAAAGGTGTATTTAAAAGTTTATTTATTGTATTTATAAAAATCAATTATTTACATACACTATTATATCGTCTGCTTACTGGTAAAACAAGATAAATGCATTTTGTTACTAAATCGAGTTAAAAATGCAGTAACATGTAATTTTTTACGCGCTATCTGGTGGTAAACCGAATAAATGCAGAGTCCAATGACTGCAGAGATAAAGAGTTTGTAAAAGTGATATCTTCACACAATTTGAAAAAATATACCAGTATAACATAATAAATAATCTTATGGCTTCTATTCGTTTCAGTTTATACAGTTAAACAACAATAAATACGGTTAAAGCTTTTACACTTTATAATTTAAATAGTAAAATGGTAAGAATTTTTCTGTGAAAAGGACATAAAAGCATTTATTATTATGAACCATATAATTTAAATACCAATAACTATAATAAAGATATTTATTCCATTTTACCAATTAAATAATGCTACTTGGTTTGCTAATGTATCTACAGCAAAAACGAAATAAATGTCATTTATGCTTTTTTACCTGTAGGAACAAGAGCAATCGATCGCAGATGTAACATTGCGTGCGCGCGTGCTCCACGTGCTCAGCGTAGAAATAAAAGTTTTAATAGCTCAATAGTTTAGTAAGAAGTTGTGTTTTATTATAATTATGGAATCCAGAGGAAAAAGATTAGTGTCTATGATAAATAAACCTAAAATACGTAAAGGTAAGAGTGATTTAAACTCTAAATTTTATATAACAAGGCTAAATTTTAAGGTTATATTAGTAGCTTTTGTTTTGTTCAACGATTTCCTTATGGAATGTTTGCTCGTACTCGTATAGTGTTTTTAGTACGTACATAGCTTTTTTACAATGTATGTAGGTTCGTACAAAGTTTGTATGATTTCTAACTCCATTTTTAAGGTTACGATTATGCTAGACTTTGTTTGTTTCAAAAATATACGTAATTCTTGTTTTAAGTAATTACTTGCGTGGGTATATGGCTCCGTAACACTTATGTCGGTACCTACAAAGTTTCTATTATACTCACTTTCTTTCCATTGTTAACACAGAATGATGAGTTATTGTCAAGGTTAAGCGCACGATTCATTGTTTGTTTACATTATAATCTTATAATTATCTACTTTTGTGTCTTTTTATTTTTTTCACAGATGACTTGGATGAAGAGCCTGGCCCTTCGCATCAAAGGTTTTGTAGCCCGTCTTCGAACTGTACTTCGGCTTTGAGCGACTAGGGAGAGAATAGTGGCGGAAATGGAGCGCATGTTTGACAGCGATGACTCTGATAAAGATCCCACTTATAACCCGGATCCAAGCTTTTTAATACAACCAGGATTTATTTGGAGAACAATGGGTGAATAACAAGGTTGAGAACTTAGAAAATGTTATACGATTCTATGGAGACAATCATGACGAAGAATTTCAACCTAACGACTGCGACGTTATGATCGCACAGGTGTTGCCAACATCTGATGCACAACAAGTCGTAATATCTCTTTGGGGACTCTTATTGAAAGGAGTATTCGATGCTACTCGGAAAAGGAAACGTTGGATGAAACCAGAACCTGAAAATTGGAAAGTAAATATCGCGAAGAAAAGAAGATCTGAAGGTTTAACTTATTCAACGAGAAAAAAAGATAGGAGGGCTAAAACACCAAAAGAGGTTGACTGTGAGAAATGTTTCTATAAATGTAGTGTGATCTCTCCAGAAGAAAGAAATAATTTATGTCGTCACTACTGGAGTTTGAGGTATACCGAGCAAAAGAATTTCATTCTCGGTAATGTGGAAGTAGATACTCTGAAGAGAGGCAAGAACTCTCTTCGTGGACCAAAGAAACAGCGTCAATTCACAAAAAGATGTTTCTTTTTTCACAACGGAGAGAAGAAGCAAGTATGTCAGAAGTTTTTTTGTTACACGCTAGCTATTTCTCCGAGTGTTGTGAATGATGCTATTCGAAAGCGGAATGATATGGGGCTATACAAGGATAGTGACAAGAGAGGTAAACATGAACCCCCTAATAAGACTAATGAAGCTGATGTAAACTTTATGAAAAAACACATAGAGTCCTTCCCTGTCATGGAACCACACTACATAAGGCAAACTTCTAAGCGTCGTTATCTGGATGCTTTGTTATCCATCACGAAAATGCATCAACTTTATAAAGACAAGTGCACTGAAAATAATATGATTCCGGTATCTGAAATAACGTACAGAAGAATATTTTGTACCCATTACAATTTTAGTTTTTTTGTTCCAAAAAAGGATCAATGTTTAATATGCTCCAATTTCAACAAAGCTAGTGACGACGAAAAACTAGTGTTGTAAGAGGAATACAAGGATCATTTAGCAAGGAAAGCGTCCTGTTACTCGGAAAAAGCGAAGGACAAAGAAAGAGCAGAGAAAGATAAAGAGTTTCGCTGTGTAACATTCGACTTACAAGCTGTGTTACAGATACCTTCTGGTGGGACAGCTTTATTATTATCGAAAACTATGTGTTTACAATCTCTGTATATACGAAGTAGCGCTGCCAAATGACGCATATTGTTTTGCTTGGTCCGAAATTAATGGGAAACGAGGCAGTTCCGAAATAGGAAGTATCCTGTACCACTACCTTTCCACATGCGTTCCTTCTCATGTAACCGAAGTTTGTCTGTATTCTGATACGTGTGGAGGACAAAACCGGAACCAATATGTTGCTGCATTACTTATATTTGCAGTCCAAAACATTTCTCACTTACGAAAAATTGAACATAAGTTTCTTGAATCAGGACACAGTTACATGGAGGTGGACAGCATGCCCAGCAGTATTAAGTCAGCAAAGAAAAATTCTGAGGTTTACTGCATGCCTGATTATTTATCAATTTTCAAACGAGCAAGATCGAAAAAAACAACAACCGTTGAAGGTAATTCTTTCATTAAAACGCCCTATAAAACGAAAGAATTTAAATACAACGAATTTTACGATTAAAAAAATTAGCTGGTGAAACTGTTTTCAATCGCTCAAAAGATAATAATGGAAATCAAGTGAAGTGGTTCAAAATAAAGAGAATACGGTATCTTCAGGAAGAGAGCTCCAAAATTTATTTTAATTATGACATGTCTGAAACGTTCTTATACATCGATGTCTCAAAAAATACGGAACCTTCTCAACGTCTCAGTACTAGAGCTAAAAAACGCAAAGAAACCACTACGCCTCAGACTATTGTCTTAAAACACCTTTACTTGAACCCTTTACCCATAAGTGAAGCTAAAAAGAGAGATCTTTTAAGTTTACGTACTAAAAAATAATTCCTGAGAAATACCATGGTTGGTACTCTTCTCTACCAACTGCAACCAATCAAGCAGATCGTTTACCTGAACCTTCGATTGACGAAGAGTCATCAGAAGATTAGGATCCTTAATGGAATTGAAAGCAGTTTACCTAAAAGGGTTCGTTTTAATTAATTGACTTTTATTGTTCTTCATTTCTTCATTCTTCAGGAATAAAATTGGTTGATTAATAAAATATCGTTTTATTTATTATCGTTTCATAAATTACCTATGTAAAATTAATTTCTCTTTATTTAATTGATCACTTTTGTATAATGTTTATAGTACCTAATAAGTGACATAATTACCCTAAAATTCTACGGGCAAAACAAGTTAAAAGTATCAAAATTATCATTATTTAAGCGAATTTTCATAAAAGAAATCTTTCCTATCAAAATATTGGTGTAAAATACAATAAGCCATTAAGTATACACAACTGAAATGAGCTTTTAAAGTCAATGAATTCAGAAGATATATCACGTTTGTTAAGTACAGGTAAAACATATTAAATGCGGTCCTCTTTCGATCTTAATTAAATTTTATACAATTTTTACTAATATTAAATGTTATATAAGGGTACATTTTAAAAGAAGGGTTGTTAGTTCCAAATTATGCTTAAACAAATTTTTTTATTCATGAGTTTGAAATAGATCAAATTAAAACTTAAACTTTGAAAAGTCATTTACTCAAATTGACACTAACTGCACTTATTACTTTTTACCAGTAAGCAGACGATATACACTTTTGTAGCTATATTTTATTTACATTTAAAAACATTAGTTAGGCTTCTTTTATCACAACTGTGTCCTTTGATCATTTATAAATATACAGTATACACTAACTAAACAACGTCTAACATTAAATTAGGTCGCGCGCGATGAATAGCGCGCTACGAGATCAAATTTGCGTCACACGTCCTCTCCCAACAGCGCTGCTGCTAGAACTATAGATGTCGCTCGAAGAAATACAGATGTCGCTCGCTGACGCTAACCGACTAAGTTGAAAATAGGTTGTAATATACTACGGGTTTGCTAACAAAGTGACTATTTTATTCTTGTATCATTAAACTCCACAAATTAATGCTAAATGTTACCATTAATAAAATAAATATATTGTTTAGTAGTTTATTTTATTATAATTGAATTAAATAAACTACCAAATTATTTAAGTACATTCAAAATATGCGTATTAAAATCTTATAAACATTTAAAAAATTAATCTATACTAAATTTTAATGTAAGTTATTTAACTAAATGGACGTCGTGGTAGTTATTTTGTATTTCTTACTTGCAGCAATGAAGCAAGCTACAGAGTACTTTTTTTAAATATGGGAAAAGCAAGCTGTCAAATAATCAATCCGTGTTTTATAAATGCCGGTCGTTTTTGTTGATAAATTCAAACATTTACAACCTAGTGCTTTTCCGAATCTCCGTAATTTCTGCTCTTTGGGTTTACGTAGAGTGTTTTCATCCTATATATAAAAAAGTACTCTGTGCCCAGTCGGATTACCCTTCATACGGAACAAGATCCAAAAGTCAGTTGATGACCTAGGAGCTTGGTTCAAAAAATGGCGCATCGATGTGAACCCGGAGAAGAGCTCCGCCGTTCACTTCGACTATAAACGACGCCGTCTCAAAAACACTCCACCAATACGTATGCTAGGGACCCCTGTCCCCTGGCATACGTTCGCCAAATATTTAGGTGTCACTCTAGACACAGGGCTCACTTTCAAGCCCCACGTCAAAAGAGTAACCCGTCACGCACGATTTTATCTGAGTAGGCTCAACAGTATGTTGGGCCGACACAGTAAAATGTCCCTTCGAAACAAGCGTACCCTTTACAAGGTCTGTATACGACCAGTCATGTCCTACGCGGGCCCCGTCTTTGCCCATGCAAACCCTAATATTTTAAATGAACTCCAAATAGTTCAGAACCTCTTCTGTCGTCGAGCTGCGAACGCACCTTGGTACGTCCGTAATGCCGACCTTAATCGGGACTTAGAGCTCCCAACAATTCAACAATTTCTTAAAAAACTCTCTGAGAACTTCTTCAAAGCCTCAGAGTCGCACCCAAACCATTTAATTCGTGAGGCAGCTTCTTATGCAGCCCCAACCCCCCTCTCGCTATCGTGTCCGCAGGCCGAGAAACTCTCTCTCAGACCCGCCTGATAAACTGTCAAACGACCTGAACTGTCTCCTGGCGGCTGAGGCCAACTCTAATTAAATTAAATTATTGTAATAACTAACATTAATTTGCCTTTGTAGGCACTCCCTCAGCGGCACTTAGCCGCCTGCGCCCTCTTTTCCCAAAAGAGGGTCGCTCATGATAAGGCACAATACAGCTTGATCAGCCGGCTGCCTTTCCCCAAAGGCGGTTTTTAGAGGGTATCACTTAGGGTCCCCGGTAGGACAGTGAGCCCCTCATAACCACGATAGACCGGCTATCGTGGTATGCGTAATGCATTTTCCGCCTCCCTACGTATAGGGTAGCCCTTTAAATGCTTCGGGCGCAAAAAAAAATGCCCAGTCGGCAGGAATTTTTTGAGGGCTACGGCCGTTCCGGTTAGACGTCGGGCGTTACATAATATCGATCGAATATCGACGGCCTCCATGTTGTTGTATTTTGTCGTTAATATACGTGACAACGAGGCTTTTGAATTTTGAGTTTTGATTGACTATTTTAACTTCGATTGCTATTAATTTGTGTCGACGAGTGGCTTGTGTAGTTAATTAAAGTTAAAATAAATTAGTTAAAGTGTACGAAGGAATTTTGCTTTCGTGTGGAACGCTGAACTTTGTGTTCCGGGTGAAGATCGCGCGCGATTATAGTTCGTGCTAAGTGACGCTGGACTTGAGTTCCGATAGCGGTGAGCGTCTTGTGGAGCGGTCAACGCACGTGCTGCTGCTATCTGATTGTATCGGTGACGTCAAGTTACATTACACACCTTCCTAAACTACACATACACTACCATTTACTTGCACCTGACGCCACCTTGTGGTAGACCCTACTTCTGGAATTCGGTAAGTTTTGTGTTTGCGTATCTAGCCGTTATAATTTAATTATCCATAGGCCATTTTGGGCCCGACCCTCTAGTTACTCGTCGAATTGGGTTACTGATGGTCCCTAGCTCAATCGACCTTTGTCGGGGTAACTCAGGGCCGTAACAACCACATATTACTTTATTACACTCTTTCTCGAGCTGCCATATTTCTAGGTACTCGAGGGTCAATCAGTTTTGGTAATAAACACTAAAAATAAAATGAGTTATGTTTTGGCTGCATTTTTTCTGTCCTAAAGTTGTCATCGTACTTAATTTTTTCATACGCCAAAACACGTCGCGTCCATACTACGAAAAAACAAAATTGCCCACCAGTGAATGTAATTTTCCCTAGACCTGATAATAGTAATCATGCACAGAAATCTAAATAATAAGGCCACAAGCGCGCAAGGAGTGTTTATTTCGGTCACCAGTGTTATTTCGGACGTAGAGACGTAAAAATGGAGTTTTGAAGCATATCCAACTGCGAAAATTCTTACACAACTTGCAAGTTTTCAAATAAAAAAATGGGAATGAAATGTGAGTTTTCGTTAAATATTTATTTACACCTCCTCTAGTTAGAGTGAGCCCAAGTGAGAGTGAGCGTGCAATGTCATTCTCTGTTTTTTGCACACGTTAGTTAGTTATTGGATCAAGTGGCTACGCCCTCCGAGATTTTGCGTTTTTATAAAATATTCCTTGACGCAATAGTTTATAGTTTAGTCTTTCTGGCATGAATACTAGAGATATGTGTAGGCGAAATTGTGTATTTATTGTTTATCTATGTGTGATAACTAAGAACCGGCGACACGCGTCCCGATATTAAAAGACAGTAGAAGGCATTTCTAGTACCTTATTATTTAGATTTCTGTGCAATCATGATTTCTTTTTAAAATCTGTCCTTTTCGTATCAAACAAAATTTGATCTTTTTTCAGGTATGACCTCCACAGGTGACATATTAGAAGCAGAAATAAGACA